CCCTGGTAGCAATATTTTGGAACCCTGGTAGCTATATTTTGGAACCCTGGTAGCAATATTTTGGAACACTGTTAGCAATATTTCAGAACCCTGGTAGCAATATTTAAGAACCCTGGTAGCAATAGTTTGGAACCCTGGTAGCAATATTTTGGAACCCTGGTAGCAATATTTTGGAACCCTGGTAGCAATATTTCAGAACCCTGGTAGCAATATTTAGGAACCCTGGTAGCAATATTTAGGAACCCTGGTAGCAATATTTTGAAACCCTGGAAGCAATATTTCAGAACCCTGGTAGCAATATTTAGGAACCCTGGTAGCAATATTTTGGAACCCTGGTAGCAATATTTCGGAGCCCTGGTAGCATTTACCAGCTTAGTTCTTCTCATGCAACATATAATTTACAGGCAACCGGCAATGCATTTATTGTCTGGGGAAATACAATATTAGTGTAGGGGAGAATAAATGAGTAGAGGGTGTGTCACTAAGTCTATTCACAGATGAAACCTGGTAAGGCAAGTTGTTTTCACCTCTTTTTTAGCTAGTGAATGTAATCTGTAAACATTACAAGGAAATAATAAACCATTTCGTAGAACAGCTGTGAGGCATATTTTATAAATGATGTCATATCCTTAGTGACTATAATGGTACTGAATATTGTTTGAGGACATGCTGATTTATTGAATGCAAACCTGTGATTGGCCAGTCAAACTTTTTTTTTGTCAGCAATTTAAGGCCAATTTTCATAAGTCACTGCCATACGCTCACTCACTCATTACAAAATCATGTGAATTTAAAGTGATTTACAGAAAATTAATTACATCTGTAAACTGCTGGAAGTTGAAAGCATTAAGATCTCACAAATCACAAATATTTACAAGGAGTAGAATGCTGGTTGAGGCAGACTGAAACCATGTTTTGAGTCTGGCTATTATTTACTTTGAGGAACCTAGAACTTTTTTTTACTGAGGGTGTTGCATTTCTTGGATCACAACAAATGGTATGGAAAGTCTGTAGACAAGAATATTTCACAAGAATATAAAGGTGACTACCTTTAAAAGGAAAAGTTTAAAAGTATTATGTATTGACAAACTTAAATTACACTATTGTTTCATCAAACTTCATTTACTGTTGCCATGAATTTGTTTCATACACTTAACCAGCAATATCTTTAGCTAATTGGCTGACAATACAGCTGTGTTGCAAGCAATACTGCTTCAAGGGCCAGTAGATTGTTATCAGACTATTTGGTTTTATGGCAATTGATAACAAGTGTTATAAATAATGACTGACAATTTAATTTTGTTCTCAAGTAAAGCATAAATTACTATTCATGAACACTCAGGCTTCAGTGCTACTAACGTCAAGAGGTGTTTGTTTTAAAAATTGGTAGTCATGGAGATGAGTCACATGCACTAGATATAGGATCTGTACTGTACATCCTGGTGCGTTTTGAAACTCGACACTGTAAAAGTGGCATTCAATCACACAAGTACATCCCACTCTACACCTGGCTTTCAAACCTCAACAAAAGAACTTGGTCACAATGGCCCTACCTTGTATATGCATGCTTTCGTTTTTTTCTGTTTATATGCATTGTTTTCTTTGGAATCACGAGAAAAACACAGAAAATTTTGCTTAGGATATACACGTTTTCTTTTGTATATTGGGAATGCCTGAGATCTTTTCAGCTTCTTCTATTTGCAATATCCAAGTGCATATAGACACAATGCTAGTCATGGTACTCGGTATAGACAAGTAGTTAGATCTTTACTGCTAATTTGGTCAATACAAAACTAGTTAAGTTGATAAATACTTGGCTGTCTGAAACAGCAAGAAATACGCCCACAAACTCAAAATCTCAAAAATTGAATTATCAAACCTGACACGTAATTATTATTTCCGATAACAAATAGTGCTTAGATCCCCGGAGTATGGACTGTGTCGAAAATCCGTACAGTAAAACCCAGTGCTTAGATTCCCGAGGTACAGACTGTGTCAAAACTCCGTACAGTGAAACTCAGTGCTTAGATCCCCGGGGTACAAAAAGTCGAAAATCCGTACAGCGAAAGCCCGCGACGTGTTTATTGGTACAGATGCCCGGTCGTCGACAACTTCAATTGCTCCTACCGTACGAGGAAGCAAGGGGGTCTCCCCGGATGCTTCTTCGGGTTGCTCGATTGAACCATAGACCTTAGAAAGAGGTCTATGATTGAACGATGCAGATTCGCAACTCCATCACTTACCTAATCACCCAAAGTTATTGTACTCAAGTATCTCTGTGATCAAGAAAACACCCGTTGGCGTTAAAAAGGCTACCGACTTGCACTGATACACAATGACACCTACCTGATTGAATGGCCTCACACGAACCGCAACTTTCACACTGTCTGCCGACATTTTTCTGTCGTGTTGATTCTCAGTAATTTGTAGAACTCAGTAGTATAGCAGTATTCTACATGACACCCGCTAAATTAACTCCCACATTATTGTCTTCACCTAACGCATATTGGTAGTAGAATAATTCGCGCCCCGTGAGGTATGCGGTTGTTGATATGGTCAGCATGGCTGTCAACGAGGACTGGCCAGTTAATTTTCATATTGTGGGGGTGGATGACCACTCGCAGTGAGGGACAACTTTTATTCAGCTTGATAAAATGAATACCAAAACGTATTCAAATGATATGTGAAATGAGATTTTGGTAAAAAATTGTGATATAAATACTTAAAACTTAACAGCGGGCGCAAACGATATGTGTACGGGTAACTTACCGGTACAACTTACCTGGGGAAAACGTTATCAATGTTCTAATAACCCCACCATCACTACCCCCAGACGCTGCAGACGGTTGAAGCGTCCGCGATTAATATTCGTACGGATAATTTACAACTTCCTTTGTAAAGCCACGACAATGTTGCAATATGAAAACGAACAACTTGCCATAAAACGTGCCAAATTAAATGAGATTGTTATAAAATGTAGCAAATTATTTTCATAACATTACATAGCACCAATAAAAAACTATCTTCCTGAAAAAATATTCTCCCATCGTTGCCATAAATTTTTGAATACGTACCCAATGCATGTCCTCAGACAATTCTAGGATTCAACACCTCCGACATATCTCGTTCTACTCAGCTTTAGTGTGGGCCCAAAGCTACTATTTGTGTAGTTTTTTTTGTTATCTTTTTTTATTGCAAAGAAATTTTACTTCGAAGTTGGGGCAACTTTTCGCCAGGAACGGCTTTTTAACTCTTGTGTCCGATTTCGTTCAAACTTATGAAGCAGGTCACATCTTTACTCAAGTTAGGTAGATAAATTTGAAAAAAAATAGTTCTGTTGCCACAATGGCTGAAAACTTGGCCTGACCGAAAAAAATGGGGGGGGGGGGGGTCAACCAAGCTAAAACCATTCAAAATGCAAGGCAAAATTTCATGCCGCCACCTCTGCTTTGAATAAAATTTTGGACACATCTCATTCTAATTTGCTTGTGTGCCTAAAGTTACTATTTTACTTTCGAGTCCGTCCTACCTATGGCAAAATCAAATCTTTTTTTAGTGGTGCGGTGGCTTACTCTTCTACTCTAGTCACAGGGAGCCCATGAACTATAATCAATTGTAATACGCAGTCTCTATGAGCGGTAGTAGGGTGAAACTAACCTGTCTCACGACGGTCTAAACCCAGCTCACGTTCTCTGTTGGTTGTTCTCATAGAGACTGCGTACTACAGTTGATTATAGTTCCTGGGCTCCCTGTGCTCCAGTTGCAATTACCAAAACTGAAATGTCAGATTTCATTAAGGATGTAATAAAGCATTATTTTATTCTATTCTATTCTAGTAATACATGTTAAATGCACTTCTTTCATTTTTGACTTGAATATACAAATTATGTGTGGCAATGTTTACCAGAAGATTTCTACCAAGAGTTACAGCAAGTTTCAGAAGTATTGGGGCAGCCAAACTCGCTTAGGGCTAGCGAATTGGTTACATCATGGAGGTAACTGCTTGGGTTTTGGCTAAACAGTTGGCTTTCGAATCTCGCTGGCGCAGTCTTGTGATCACGCCCACATACGGCGAATCTATATAACAGTAGGGGACGATCGTCATACTTGAGGAGCTAATCAGCGACGGTTTTACAGTTGGGTGGCAATTTCGCTTAAAATATACTAGGGAAAGTGTTCTATTTCTTTCGTATCCACGTAAAAATAGCGAATGACTTTTTTAGCGGTCGGCTTAATTTTACCCCAACGGATCTTTTGTATGTGAAAGTTTGTTATTTTCTCCCTGATTTGTAGGAAAATGTTTTTCAACTTGACTATTTATATTTTGTAGTTTCAAGCAGTGTTCAAGATAATAATCGCATTTATCATATTACCACTTGTACGCCAGCTGACTGTGGTTATTTCCAGGCTCAAACCGGGAGCTCAAATTACTCAGGGGAATCCAGACATGTACCAGGCTGCATAAAAAGCATTCTATGTCCCCTACTGCAATATAGACTCGCCCAGAGTGGACGCGATCTCAAGTCGGCGCCAGCGAGATGCGAAAGCCAATCGTTTAGTCAAAACCCAAGCAGTTAGCCAATTCGCCAGCAAGTTTGCCAATTGGCTGCCCCAATACTTCTGAGATTTGCTGTAAAAGATTTCTATCAGATGAATGAAAAGCACTCCAAATGCATCTTACTTACGGTGGTAATGATAAGGGAAAATCACATTTGTGAGAATCCAGAGTCCAAAAATATGACCATTTTCACCAGATATTTTGCCTTGAAAGGAGATACCCAACCAATACAGTAGTATTTGATAACACAAGAGTACCAAAAAAATCCTGCACACCAGTTTCTTGGCGAAAAATTAGCACAAAAGTGAAGGAGACAACATTTTTGCAGTTTTTCTTTCATCATGTCATGAGTTTCTATTGAAATACCATTCTCTTATTTTCTGGAACGACAGCAAATAACACCAATCCTCACATTTTATAATTTCAAGGCAAATCGTAAAGAAAACAGCTCTAATGCAGCACACTTGAAGTCACAATTCTGACTTGTAATATTTAGTGTTAATGGTCATATTAATGTCAGCAGAAACAATTGAAAATCTGACAACTTGATGGCGGCCCATACTGAGAAGTAGGATTTGTTGTGAAAATCAAATATTACCTGGTCCCTATCTTTATATGCATATAATAATTTTGAGCCTGTTAGTCAAATTATACCAATGTTACACAACTTGTGGATTATTATTATTATTATTATTATTTGGTGTTTTGGGTTAATTTCAATCCTGAGAGAATGGGCACAGTGGTCTTTGCCACAAACTTGTGACACGCACACAAGCGGAAAAACATTCCTGTAGATCAAGATAGAACAGAGCATCAATTAATGGATAATTGTTTAAATTGTTGAATGTTTAGTCAGGTTAAACCATGCATGCAAGGATTTCTATACAACACATTGATATATGCATGTCTATACATGTTTACACTATTTGTATCCACTACAGAATACAATAGCAGAACATGTAAACACGTAATGATTAAATACTTCACATTTCCAATATAGGCAGCTAGATATATTGTGGAGTGCACTTCAATGAATCAATGTTAGTTTTATTTTACATTGGTAATCAAAATACATTGACATGTAGAACAAACCAAAAGATGTTTATTAAATCAAACAAACTAAGAACATTTAATAGCGAACATTTTGTTTTTATAAATAGAGTCCTTCTGGAGTGCCTTCATTCTTTCTGTACAATACATTTTCTTTAGATTTTCTAAAATCTTCAGCAGTGACTTTCATCCTTCGTTCACGTAATGCCATCAAACCAGCTTCAGTGCAAATAGCCTAGAAAATAGAATTAACCTAGAATTAATACTTAAATACTAGTACCCTAATACCATCTAAGGAATCAAAGAAAGCTTAGAAAGAACTCCCATGTGCTGAGAGTATTGAAGACACATTAAAAATTAATTCTAAATTACTTGTACTTGAGATATTGATGGAATAGCTGAAAACTAATTATGTAAATCAG